TTTTTAACTGAACACATTGCTGAAAAATGCTTATGGATAATGCTGTCACAGTCTCTAAGTCAGAGCAGCTTCACTGTTTGTAGATTGCACTCTGCAGCACATGTAGCAGAGCAGCATCACAGGTAAGCGCATGCTGTTGTTGAGAGCAGAAGTGTTCAGATTTGACTGCCTTACAAATGCTGGAGGATTGGATGAATATATTGGCTTTTTGGCCAAGTTAATCACTGGTTGTTTTATTGTTTTAGTTTGTGAGTATGCCTAAGGCACAGTGATGTGTTGGTAAGCGCTGTTGACTCACAGCAAGTTTGCACGCAAACACGTCCTGTTCTCTTCAGGTACTCCGGCTTCCTCCCACAGTCCAAAGACATGCAGTCAGTGGAGTTGGGTTAAACAGGGATTCTAAATTGACCTTAGGTGTGAATGTGAGTGTGAATGGTTGTCTGGCTCTCTGCATTGATCTGTCTAGGCTCTACTCTGCCTGATGCCCTGTAGCAGCTTGGATAGGACGCTGATATAGATAAGCGAAAGAAAAAGGATGGAAGGATCGAGCTGCATCACTGAAAACTCAACTTAGTAAATCATTCACTTCTAATCTCCTCCATTTATTCATGTACGTCTGGGTTGTGGGGATAGATGTCTAATCAAAGAAGACCTCTCTCTTCCCAGCCATCTCCTTTGCCTCTGGCAGCGGGACACCTAGGTGCTTCCAAGCCAGATGAGAGGTGGAATCTCTAAACATATCCTGGGTCTGTCCTAGTACTCCTTCTGGGAGGACATGCCTGAACTTCCTCCAAGGGAGCTAGTTGAGGTGCTGGAGAGAACCGGAATTGCATGGTGAGTCTTTTCTGAGGTAAGAGATAAGGTGAGTCCCAGTGACCCCTAAAGGGAGCAAAAGAAGAAGAATGGGGGCCCAATGATGTCTTCCCATAGACTTATATAGAACTAGAGGTACTTTTGAAACCATTGGAGTAGTACCCTGCAAACCATAAAAAAGAAGACTGGTTTAAGGCACTTTAACCTGCATATAGCCTTAAAGATCTGGAACCTACAGTTTATGCATATCACCAACCTCAGGTACTTCTGGCTCACACGCCATCCCTACACTAACATTTATATTAATGATATCAAAGCACTAAATCGATATAGCAATAAAATCACAGCTAGTTTTCCTGTTTGTTGGTTTGCAGGCCTTAGCGTTTCCTCCTCAGTTCGCATTTGTCGCTCTCAATTGTGTCATTATCTCATTTATTTATGAAATGGAAAAACGGTTCAGGGCGCAGGGTGGGGAAGATTATATTTGGAACTCTGGATATGACCACAGACCCCGGATGCTTAAAGTTTGTCCCGTTCGTCTTCATCATCATCCCTCCTGCTGAGAGCTGCAGCCTACCTGAGGCTCTCACACGCGTGTACACACAAAGAACACACTGCTGTTAGTGCTGAATTATTGAGCAGAGAGACAGGGACGCACAGAGCATGCACACCAGGAGAGGGTAATAAGACACCAAAGAGAGCTTTATGTACATGACTCCAAACACACACATAAACATGAACGCACACACAGCTGCCAGCGTAAGCTAATCCTTCTGAGGTTTATCCCGTGTTAGGGGACACAAAATATATGTCACACATTGGTATTAAGACCCAGAACAGAAGAGGTGTTTAAGTGCACACAAACACACTATCCCAAAAAGAATCAAGGATGATCCAGCATGAGGAGACGGTGTCAGGTCTGTGACATCAAATCCTGTCGGTGCAGATGCAGCTCCAAAACGCTGACGCAGAGCACATTCAACACTGCAGCAACAGTCTGACTAGTCCTTTTTCAACTGCCCTCCTCAAAAAATAAATAAATAAACGTGCTGCTACACCCGAACACCGTGCTGGTACCGAAGAAAAAAGTTACCCTGGAAACTCAGTGAGCAAACACACTCTGGAATACAGGAATTTTTTTGTGAGCTGTTCCAGTCTGCTGCTTTCTTCCCTGATCTCCCAGCTTCATCACTCAAAACGGATCTGTTTCACATCCAGTCACCTCTCATCTTCCTCTTCTTCTTCCTTCTCTCCTAACAAATTACTCCCTCATCCCACACACACAGACACATTTGTATTCCCCTTTCTGCTGATGCATCAGGTTCAAAGACCCGTCAGCAGCAGCCCTGGTTAATGTGTGGCTGCAACATGGCCGACTCGGATCACTGAGTCCTGTACCAGCCTGCATCCTGAGCTTGTGCGTTTCTGTGTGTACCTGTTTCTGTGTTTAATGTCGGGTTCAAAATTTGTGGCTGTTCTGGCGCAGAAGCAGACCAGACAAGCTAGCGGTCTAGCATCATTACACAACGTGACGGAACTTCCTTCCTATTCAGGGGAAGTTCTTCTAATCTGTCTGCTGTTAATCCCAATCTGTGTCCGCCCTGTTTGTCTCCCTCCAGGCTGCCGTCCAAACAGGCGCAGCTCACTGCTCGCAGCAGGAAACCAGAGAGGGCAGATAGATGCTCGCAGGGACTGGCTGTCAAGAGATTTGGGAGGCGTGGACCTGTGTTTCTGTTGCTGTTTAAATGAGGAGGAGAGGGAGCAAGGAGAGGAAGTGTGAAGGAGTCTAATTTGAAGTAGAAAAAAGCTTGCGAGTGCATTGGTGATACTGCTGTTGCTGCAGCTGCCAGGGGAATGAAATTCCTGCAGTCTGTTAAAGCCTCGCTGTCATCCACAAGAAAATCCCCTTCACAGCTACAGCTTAAGGTCACCTTTAAACAACACAGCAATCCTAAGTCACTGTAGAAGCCCCTATGTAAACATCCCATACAACAGAAAAGCCAGCAGGAAAACAAACAAGAATACAGAAGGAGACACTAAACGAAAGTAAATCCATTCAACAGCAATAACTACTGTACTTACTTTGCAGGGAAATCAGAGACATCTGTATGCTCAAAATTCAAGGAAAAACCAACACAAAGTGCCTTAGTAAGGCGAGTAGCCACGACTTACTGCCAAACCAGACGGGCTAGTCTTGAGTATTCCAGAAACTGCTGATTATCTGGGATTTTCCCACACAATGCACTCTAAGGTTTACAGAGAATGGATTGAAAAAGAGAAAAAAGATGTGGTGAGCGGGCGTTCTCAGGATGGAAATCCCTGGTTGATGCCTGAGGTTAGAGGACAATGTCCAGGCTGCTTTGAGCTGATAGGAAGACAACGGTAACTCAAATAAGCATCTCTCAATGCACAACACAAAGACCCTGCCAGGTACCTGTCCTGACAACTAGGAATGGGAAAGTCAGGCTACAGTTCACACAGGCTCACCAAGACTGGTTGACACGAGTATGGAAAACATGGCCTGCTCTGATGAGTCTATCAACAGTTCAGCCTGCTGGCGGTGGTGTAATGGTGTAGGGGGTATTTTCTTGGGAACCTCAGTAGGAAGTGAGCATTGTTTATATGCCACAGCCTGTCCGAGTATTGCCGTTGACCATGTCCACCCCTTTAAGATTACATTGAACCAATCTACTAGTGGGTAATGTTCCATGTCATAAAGCACAAATCCTCTCAAACTGGTTTCTTGAACATGACTCATCAGGTGTATCTGACATCCCCATATTGGTGTTGTTCCTGGATCCTGGATCCTGTTCCTGGATGTTGCTAAAGGTTGTCTACTGATATCTACGCAGGAAAAAAACATGACCGCAGTGTTGAACCTGGACCAACGCTAATTATGATGAACAGCAGGAACAGCACTAATACAGGTATATCAGACATCAGAACAGTCACCAGACCTCAACCCAACAGAGCACCACTGGGATGTGGTTGAACAAGGAAATTCACATCATGAATGCGCAAGCCAACAAAACTGGAGCTACTGCGCGATGCTGTCAAGTCAATATGGACAAAAATCTGTAAGGAATGTTTCCAACACCTTGTTGGATCTCTGCCACTAAGAATTAAGGTAGTTCTGAAGGCGAAGCAGGGGTTCTACCCGTTCGTTATTAGAGATGTGTACTTAAGAAAGTGGCTGATGACTGTATAGGTATTTAGCAGATAAATCAACAGACATCAGCCAATATTAATAATTGGCCAATATTTAAATGCATCGCTACCTCTAAAATGACAAGTGCACCCATGCCATACCAGTAAAAAGCCACCCATAGCATAAAAAACACTTGAGGATTGTGTTAGAGCTGACAAAATCATTTGTAAAAAACAAATGATTTTGTCAGCTCTAACACAATCCTCAAGTCTCTGCATGTTTTGTTATGGAATAAATGAAATACGTGTACAGTCATTTCCATGGGAATCTGACAATGTGATGCCAAAGATGAGCGCAACAACACTGATTACAGCTACTCAAAAAGCTCTCAAAAGCCCTGCAAGCCTCTTTCAAAACATTACGAAAGTACTACACTTGATGTGCTGATACCACAAAGCCCTGATTTAAAACCACTACAATCATTTATGAGTGTAATGTCACTGATTACAAATATATGTCGACAGGCAGAACTAACGACGAGAGGCCGAAGTGGGTATATAAACGACTGAAAAGATAACATTTGTGAATTGTGAAGCTAGCTAAAAGTTCTCAATATTTGGTGTAAACAGTTATCACGCTAGCTAAAAGTAATCCCTAACAAACTGAAACAGCTGAACATCTTGTGTAAGCGGAATATTCAGCTGCTATAAAGTCATTATTAATAGTACTCGGTGCTTTATTACACAGCGATGCCACAGCACGAAATCCACTGACGTGATTAAAGCCCCCCGCTGAGCAACCACAGAGCTCCCACAAGCATCCGCAGGAATACTACAGTAATAGCGACACAGAAGAAGAATGTAGAAAGCGGCACTCAGGCACATTTCAAGTCCATTTGAACGCTGCCCCCGAGCGCAGTAAGGTCACCGTAAACTCTCCCAGCAGCCCCGTTTGTAGACAGACACAAGCCCGGATGGATATTACTGGACTATCACTCAGACCAACGAGGTGAACTCAGACAAAAACCGTGTGTACTCACGTGCCGAGGACTTCTTTAAAATCAAAAATCTTCTTAATGTCGTCGACTTGTTTTTTCCACGTTTCCCCTCTGCCGGTGGTGTCTCCGTTCTCCCGAGCCATGGCGCTGCTTTGCCGGGCCAAGTCCGACCCCAACACTGGGCTGCGGGAGCAAGGATGCGAAAATAAAATAAGACTACAGGAGGAGGGGTGGTGTTGGGGAAGAAGACGTGGGCTAGAGTGTTAGGGGTTTGAGAGTCCTGATGGTCTGGGATCCGCTGCTGCAGGACCATGTGAGTCCTCCTGCAGGTTACCGTGTCCCCGCTTCCTCCTCCTCTTTCTCTCTCTCACTCTCTCTCCCTTTACCCGCTCCCCCTCCTGCCTCCTCCTCCCGTCTGGATAGTGGCTGCGTAAACGTAGACGAAAGACAAAAGAGCCTCCGCCACGGTCTTTCAAAATAAGAGCATGTTACTTGACAAGCCAAAATTTAGCTGGAATAATATTATTAATAATATTTTTTCTTGCAACTGCCACAGCTATTATACAGTCTTCAATCAGCCCCAGAATCCCTAGGCTAACAGTAAACTCAAAGCATAGGATTTAAGAACGGGGGAAATCATTTGCTGACGCTATCAGTCTGAATTACTTCATTAGCTTATGGTATGTACAAAGAAAAAAAAGATGAAAAAAAAACCCCCTGTAAAACACAATAAAATAAATCGAGTAGACTAATTTTCTGGACTTTCATCAATGGGGGCGGGAAGTAGTAAATAAATTAATCAGTCTAAAAAAAACACTCTTCCAGATTTTTTATTTTCTTATCCAATGACGTTTTGTTTTTGTTTTTTCATTCACTGGATAAGAAATTAACCAATAATTTAAATAACCTGGGTTTACAGTCAAATAAAATGGAAACTCATACTTTACTTTCACCAAACTGGTTAATCACGTCTCACTCTTGATAGATGTTTTATCAACAGTTTCACATATACGCTATCTGGAGGGATTTATTTCACGTCACTCATTTTTTTTTTTCCCCAAAAAATTGTTTTATTTTGAAGACAGAGCCTCACAACTTCCGGCATCGCGTTTGTCAAGCATCTCTAACTTGGTGGCTAATCTGCTTCCACCTGCAATTCGATAAACGTCTTTAATAAACGCCTTTAATTGGTGAACCCCCCCCCCCCCCCCCCCCCCCAATCAAAACATGTCGGGGGACGAGGAGGGGGGGGTTCCCACTGTTGCACAAAATATCTAGTGTGTTCAAATCCACCTCTTTGCTTCTATGATTGTCATTGTTTATTTAACAACTGCGTCCAAGTCATACTCTGGCAGTGAGTGTTATGGCATTAAAGAGAGCCGGTGGATTGCTGCTCCTTGCATCCTGCTACTTCTTTTGAGCAGCAAATTCGCAATGCGCCAGCATTATGACAACAGCTATCATGTATTCATCACCATGTGGGATCCCTAAAGGCGTCCATGTGGCTCAGCGGGGCGCCCAGGGATCAGCGGGGAGCCCAGCTGCAGCAGCGTGCTCACCTAAGTTACAGTGGTCCTCATAACACCTGGATTGCAGACGGAAAGAGCGGTGATCCCCGGGCTCTGACAGCTGCAGGGGCTGAGGTCAGCTCAGGCCGCGTTACTGCCCACAACACACGCGCACATACACGCGCGCGCACACACTAGGTTATGTTTGCACTATAAGGAGACAGAGATAGAGAGAGATAGAGAGAGAGAGAGGGGGGGTGGAGGACAATGTGTTGCAGCTTCAGCTGCTCATGAGTATTCCGGCTGCAAACTACTGCAGCTCTTCCTCAGCAGCATCCGAGGAAAACTCCTCTCCCCCACGCTCTCCCCCCTCATCCTAGTCTTTTTCTCTGAGTCAGCAAATCTGACCTCCCCCGGTGAAAGATGATTACCCGGCTGCAAAGGGAGGGAAGGTGGGTGTTAGAGCCATGGTTAAAAAAGAAGATGAAGGTCAAGGAAGACGAATGGGGCCCACTTACTGCCTGCAGCTTGAACACTGACATTTTAAATGCAGACATGTGCGCATGTACAGAAATCGTTTGCCTGGCTGAGATGCTGATATACATATTTCCTCTAATGTCAAACCCTCCAACGATTTCACACTCTGAAATGGCTTGTATTAAATTATCCACTCCCAGCCCCCACCCTCAGTACGGCTTCCATCCTACTTGACATCTGACTTGATGTAATGTGTGGATGGATGAAAGGATTTCTTTAGCAGCTAAGAAATGCAGTCACGATCTACCATATTAAGGAGCTGGGGTTGACACATTTGCTTAGGTGCCAACCAAAGAAGCTGGATTTTGCGGTACTAAACATTACTGTCTTTGGAACAATAGGTCAGGGTTTCAATCCTGGTCAGGGAATGCATTCTGTAAGAGTATCCACAAAACACTATACTAGCCTGGAAGTCAGCTGTTGAGGAACAACGACAAACTGAAAAGAAGTATGTCTGAAACAAGGCATACGTGGACTCGATGAACTGGCAGCTGACTGCAAGTTCTGGCAGGTAACTGGCAGGTTACTGCACAGCATTTAGCATGAGCAGCATGGATATGATGAGGCAGCCCTGGTAAAGGACATCAGTCTAATAAGTCTAACTGAAGCACATGATGCCCAACCACTTGCAAGGAGAGATGCTGAGGATCAAAATTGACGGCAGAATAAAGGTAGCAACCGAGGTGATGACACCCAGCAGAAATAGAGACTCATCAGACCAGGCAACATTGTCCAATCTTCTGCTGACGAGTAATGCTTAGCCTGTATGAACTGTAGCCTCAGCTTCCTGTTCTTAGCTGACAAGAGTGACACCTGGTGTGGTCTTCTGCTGCTTCAAGGTTCAGTGTGTTGTATTCTCAGAGACACTCTTCTGCATACCTTGCATACAAGTGGTTAATTGAGCTATTGTTGCCTTCTTATCAGCCCTTATTACTGCCATATGATTGGCTCATAGACATATATCTTAAACAGTTGAACAAATGTACCTAATAATGTGAGCAGAGAGTGTAACTGCAGGCCGATCGTATCTGTATTTTTTTAGCTTGATGCACTTAATGAACTGGAGTCAGTGCGATTGTGTGTGTGTGTGTACATCTATATTTTTAATCACAGACTGGAGTTCATCATTAGCTAAGCTTTGTATTTACCCTTTATTTAGTCTTTATGATCACGATCAGATTTTGTGATTTGCCCCCTCCCCCCAACAGCAAATACCCCGTGTCACATTTCAGCAGACAAGCTCGTCCTTATTTGCAGGTCAAACTGGATGTTTACATACACGTTTCAGTTTCATAATGATGACAAGTGGCGAAGCGTATTCACAATATTTGTGTCATGCACACTGTTGCTGCTCGTCCACAGCGGTTTACCTGGCGAGCTGTACCTCCGACACCCACTCTTTCATCTCCCCATAATTGCTCCATCAATCCAGTGAAGAGGAAAAGGGGAAAAAAAGGAAATGAAACAAAGTACTGCCCTGTGTCGTGCGTGCGCAGCTCATTTAGCTCTCGGGGTAATGAGAGCTGTTGCGTAAAAGTGCAATCAATTTCTAATGTGCTGGTTTACAGCACCCACCAGACTGACAGCCGAGTCAATACACGACAAAGAAGTTTAATGGTGTTCTTTGGAGCAACAGTCTACATTGATGCGTGATGAGGGGAGAAAAAAAAAAGAAATAACAGGACTCCGAATGAGCGCTGGGAGCAATGACTGTGTCAAAACTGCTCAGAGGAAATTGGCAGGGAAAGATGGAGGAGCTGGGATTTCTGGCAAGAAAATTAAAGGTGACTCAGTGATGAAGGGCTTTAGTGTTAAATAGAGAAGTCTGTCAGCCCCATAGGTAAAGAAACAAACTGACACTGTGTGTGTGTGTGTGTGTGTGTGTGTGTGTGTGTGTGTGTGTGTGTGTGTGTGTGTGTGTGTGTGTCAGATTGATTTCAAACCAAGAGAGACTGTTTTTGAGATGTGATACAGATACACAGACTACTGCACAAGTATAAAAGCAAACATTCTTTACATTGTTAATGAATACATCATTTTACAGTAACACAGTCCCCGCCCACACAAAAAGTGAAATAACCAACCCCTGGACACGGCAGAGGCCTCTATTAAGATCGGCAATAAGGCGCTAGGCAGTGTCGAGGGAAATGAGTCCCTAAGGAACGGGTAACACGATCTGTTAATTTAACATGCTCCATTCGAGTAATGTGAAGGAGCTATTTAGGAAATCCCGGGTACACCGCGTACCATTCTGAGATTAAAAAAAAGGAACTGGTGCTGAAACAGAAGAGAGGGTGAAGAGTCACTTCATGCAGATTTCATATGGAGAGCCGATGACGCTGATGTCACTGTGGCGCGTTCTCCTGCTCTTCCTCCTCCTCCTCAGACTCTTCCTGTTGGCTTTTCTTCTGTGAACAGGAGAAGAAGGAGAGTTTAACCCTTCACTGCAGTCATCTGTCATTTTACACTAGTGTAGTGTTTGAGTTGAGTAAAACATTAGAAATTAGTACTTTTCTTGTATGTTTTTTATGATAATGCTAATCAAAAACTCTCCACATCATATGATTAAGTTTAGGGGAAGATCGTAGTAACGGAGTCAGCACCAGATGAGCTCAGCATGTCCAGTGGTTACTGATGGGATGCTCTCTAAAGGTCCCAGCTGCTAGTACAATGGTGGTCAGTCAGTGGTCAAACTTTAGAGAACCTGGGCTACATGCTGGTGCAAGAAGTTGAGTTTTTCTGCTGCGGCCGCAGCTGAAAATGCACTCACTGTCTTTTGTTTCAACGCCTGAATGGCAAACAACGTTTGCGTTCATGCATGACGAACACGTCGTCATGCATGAACGCAGCTTTCCAGGACCTACCAGCTTGAGGAAGTCGATGAGTTTGTATGCATCCTCTCCTGTGGAGAGGTCGACAAAGTCCCGTGGAATTCTGTAGCTCAGACAGGGGCTGGGTTGCACCGTCACCTCGCTGGTGGTGTAGCGGAACGCCGGGCCTTCCTGCACAGGTCCACAGACACACTGAGCATTCATTAAGACTCCAGAGTGTGTTGCAATACGGGACATACAGTATACAATGACTGACCTGCTGCTCTGCGACCTCTCCAGACGTCAGCTCGCCCCAGGTGAACAGCAGCGAGTCAGTCACCTCTCCGAATGGGTTCAGGTCGATGAGCCACACCCTCCCCTGCGACACACACGAAGACACACACGAAGACACACACTACACGTAAATGCAGCTCACAAAGTGTGTGTTGGGTTTTTTTTGATTTATCAAGAAAAACATTCAGTATCGAGTTACCTGGCTGTCTCTGTAAACATCAAACACAACTGTAAAGCAGAAAAAAACATCTGAATGAGTAATCATTCACACTATTGTCTCGCACAACTTCAAAAAGCAAACTTTTAATACCACATTAAACATTAAAATCACAATTAAGTGAAAAGTCATCAGTCTTCGCTTTCATTTCCGTCCTGCCTAAATGACCCCATTTTTAACAGTACATATTTAATGACTTTCATTACTTCACAAAAAGTCTGTTTCTGTCTGAGGAGAACTTACAAAACTGAAAATATTGCATTAAATTTTACATGTACAGGGAAAAATAAAAGCAGGCTGATGCTCACAGTCTTCATCCAGGACGTTGTACTGGATGTGCTGGCTGAAGAAGTCCTGAATGGCCTGGCTTATCTGCTCCTCCTGCTTCAGGATGTGCTGGTAATACTGCGTGTAGTCTCTCTGGGAGATAGCTGGGAGATCGCACAGACACATCGTCAGCACACTTTAGATTACATTTTATAATTGGTTCTAAATTAGCCTCCTGAATAACTGTACAGAGAATTTTTAAAAATAATTCCCGTCTCACGCATGAAGCGTACTCTCTTTTTGTCCATTTGTAGCCACTCGGTGGCTAACGTGATCAAACGCAGTGCAGATATTTATGGACAACACTCGTGTAAAAGAAGATGAGGGACAGTTTTTACCAATCAGTTTGTTTTCTTTGACAAAGCAGCGAAACTCGCCGCCAGGAATCAGCTCACTCCACTTCCTCAGTACCAGCTGAAGAAAGAAGACAAGTGTTAGAGTGTGAGACAACCATTAAAGAGGAGACACTGGCGCTAGTAAGCCAATAGAAATAGTTAAATACGGCAGCAGATTTGTTGATAATACAAGGAAACCCAAAGAATGTGTTAGTGCTCTGCATGCAAATTACTCCCAACTGAATCAATATGTAATTAAGTTTTCAGATGACTCCATTATTCTTATTTTACTCACATGCAAGTCTGACATTTTAAACCAGGACTGGACAGGCTTGTGAAACGATGGTAGGTGCAGGATCCTTTGCAGATCAAACCTCTCTAACTTTTTTATTTGATCTTATTTAGTTGCACTACAGTATTTTTTTACCCAGTCCTGTTATGTGCATGCAGTTCCACTGAGCAATGCATATAAACAACAAAGGGATGTGAATATCACTGTACACAGCAATGACATTACACAGGTTACTTTGTACAAACACACTGAAAGTGCGTTTACTTGGCTCATAAACGTGGCCGTGATTGTAAAGCAATCAATCAGCATCTCCGTTTCCTTGGAGACTCCAGGATTTCGGTTCTGCTGCAATGTCTTTTTTTTTCTTTTTCCCCCAGCGTGCTTCTATAGAGTCCACCTCTAACACCTGTAGTAGTCAAGTTTTTAAGTTTTAGTTGAATGGCAGGAAAAATCATGGGATCGACCTCCCTGACATTTTTGTATTTTCGCTGTCTGGCAGGATTTTAGCCAATCCTTCACATGACTGAACTCCAAGTTTGTGCTAATAAATGCTGGTAGGAAGTACAGACTCCTTTTGTGTAAGCATACCAGCTATAAACACTCATTGTTTCCCTCTGTCAGTTAAACTGATAAATAAAACGGCTCATGCAGAACAACTCTTTCCCTCCTTAGTCACGTATTAAGGATAAACCTTGTTTGTCTCTTTTGAACTGACATGTTTCTGTTGGATTTCAGGCCTCCTTCCAGAACTAAATGACTGGATGTGCATTAGAAGTTAGTGAGGGTGATCTTTGCCTGTATAGCTTATCTGGGCTACCCTCGTGAAAAACCTAATACCCAATCTAATAGTTGACAAACTCCATCTTTATTGATATAAACTGAGGTGTCAAAACTTATTAGGGGAAGTCAGAAAAGGTCGCCACTTGTTGCTCTCATGTTTGTGGGTGTGTTTTTTTTTTGATGTAGCGGTTGGCTGACAATTATTAACTAATCCTATTTCATATGCAAACAGCCTAATGGCCAACACAGGATGACTCACCGGGTCATGAAAAACAAGCCTGTAAGAAAATGACCTCTCTTGACTCATGACCCAGTCATCGCTTTTCTGGTGAGTTTTCAGTCTCAGCTAGTTACTGAATACAATGTTTGTTTTTAAGAAACTACTGTTGTATTTGGAGTCAAACAGATCATAGAGATCAGGGTATGTTTTACAAGTGGCTGCTGTATGGGTCTGGAAAGTCCTCAGGCTTTTTAGTCAGAGCCAGCGCTCCCTCATAATCTCCAAAACCAAAATAAGCTCGGGGTTATAATAACAGGTGCTGTCACAATGCAGAGAGACGAATCAACCATGATTTCTTTTTCTGGAAATGTTGAGGAGTGTAAATGGTGACGTTTTTTGTGAAACCGTTTCTCTCCAGTTTTTTGAATAAGTCTTAAATTTTAATCTTTGCATTTTTCTGTTGGGTTCTCAAAATGCCAACTTTGGGAGCCAGCGAGTGACTGAGGCGCCATAAAAAGACACATTTGTAGTTTGTGTTCATAAAGTGACAGCTCAGAAAAGGGTTTTACTTTTATTTTTGTCTAGGTTTTATTCTTCTTAATCATAAAGAGAGGTGGCATTTCTTGACTCCAGCTATATTTGTTATTGTCAGAGGGATTTACTCTGCTGTGACGGCTCAAATAGAAGAGCTACAACTGAACAGAAACGCTCTCTTGGTCTTGCTCTGAGCTCTGTATTACAGTGGGACAGCAGTATCACACTGTTTCACCCATCATCCTCACCATATGCTACTAACAGCTGCCACTGGCCCTCGGGCCATACTTTGGCAATCTTTTAACAGCGATGAGAACCACTGTGAGCTGATTTAAGTGCTCGAGTAATTTCATATTTCCATAACGACGCGGGGTCAGCAACCAGAGGGGTTTTTGTTCTATCAGTCCTTTTAAACAAGAAGCTAAATATTCAACAGCACCTTCAATATTTGCATCTGTTCAGCTGCTCATTAAAAGAATGATCTAATCAGCCAATCACATGACAGAAATGCATTTAGGCATGTAGACATAGACAAGGTGGCCTGTTGATATTCAAACTAAGTAAGGTGATTGAAAAGACTTTGAATGGTTGTTGCTGCCAGAGAATCTAATCTGATTTACTTTTTTGTTGTCCCAGATTTATGTTGTATTATATTTTGTGAACATGTGTAAAGCAAGAGTAAATTAAGCCTCAGGGTAATGACACAAAAACACATTTGGAGATTATTCTCTTAGCATGTGCTGCAGTGCTATTATGTGTACAACTTTCTTTATGGTGGGGGAAAAAAAAGTATATACCTCATAGTTGATGACTGGGTCTGGGGAGTCCTGGTCGCTGCATTGAAGGAATCTGAACATGGAAATGACAAAAAAATAATAATAAAAACCTTAAAAATTTACTTTTCACTTTCTACAACCACTGCCCATACTGAATGTTTGTCATGGAGTGTGAAGCAGCGAGAGGTAAATCTACAGCCCAGCAAATTTTCCAGCCAACACTGCCAGTTCAAGTGGGCCTGCGCACACCACACCAGGTGTTTTTCCTTTTTTCTTTCTGTAAACGAGCCCAGTTGTTTACGATTGTGATGTTGTTGTTAGGCAACGGGACTTACGGCTGCGTGAGGTCATGCGTGATGAAGTCGGAACTTTTGAAGAGCAGAAATATATCACTGAGGCTGCGACACTGCAGGGAGCTGTTCAGAGCAATCCAGTTCGCATCCTGTAGGCATGGAAAACAAACACACACGTTAAGTTACACTGGATATAAAACGTGTGCATTCAGCTGTTAAAATGACAACATGCTGTGCTGCTAAAAAATGAGATCACAATAAATCATTTGAAAATGAGGCTGCCAAGAGTCCTACATGTTACAATCTCCCAGATTCTCCATGTGTCTCGACTATGAGGTAGGATGGCAATAAAAAAGCCTTTTCTTAGAAAGAAAAACATCCAAGCCAGGTTACAGTTTGCAAAAAACACATCACGTCTCCCAAAAGCATGTGGGAAAATGTGTTACAGT